CTTTTTGTGTATTTTAAAATAAAATATATTTTATAAGTATAGTATAGGTAGGAGGTAAAAGGTCAGCAATAAGTGTTTCTTCCAATAAAATCGAGTTCACGCTGTAAGCCTTAAATTAAGCGCAGACAAGGTTCATGATTGACATCGAGGTGTTGGTGTGGCAAGTACTATATCGACATACACACACACACACACATCGGCGCACACACGCACATTCAGACAGACTGGCGAACACACACCCCTGTAGTTGTTTTGTTGCCCTCGCTCGTATAAATATTCAGGTACACGAAATCAGATTAAATTATCTTAAATAAATTGAGTCGCAGCACAAAGGCAACAAAAGTTTGTCTAGGGGCGTTTGCAGTGAAGGGAAAATTGGGAAACGGGAAAATTGCGTGATAGACAGTTTTATGTGTCCCCTGCATGGGCCAAAAGAAAAACTCCATGTGCATATCTAAATTACATTTTATCTCGCTTTTGGGCAGCGTTATAGCTATTGCCATAGCCCAGCCCCAATTCAGCATATGGAGGCATAGCCCAGGTCCACACTCGCCAAACCTTACTTTCTGCCCCGAGGGCGCACATTCAACAACATTCTTTTGGTTTATTAAAACGGCTCACTCACTGGATCGCCTGGTCCATTCTGTTTCTGTTTGTTTGGCTTTTTAGTCAATTTGCGGTTAACGTTGGCGCTGCGAGCGATTGGCACTCCGAACTCACACTCACTCACAACCGAGTCTTTAAAGCTCGCTCATGCGAGCCTCAAAACGCTTTTAATTGCCTTTTAATTGTTTTTGCAAAATGAATTTCAGCTGCGTACTGAGGGCAACGGCAAACGCAACGATATTTGGCCTAATTACATTCCAGCTTTTGTGCAGCAATTGCGCGTTTGCCAACACTGGTGGGGGTGGCAGACGATTTGCTCATTTATTGGACCACTGGGCGAATGATTTGATTGGGCCAGTGACACAGTTATGGGAGTTGAGCATTTTGATTAGCACCGCAAGCGAATTGTCAACAATATGACATTATATCGAAAATGAACGGTTCGTTTAACAATACTTTAGAGCCCTTTATTGCGAGAAATTGTAATTGCTTTTTGAAGTTGTCTGTTTCTGTAAAATGACAGCGAAGGGGAGCCTTTCTGAATTTACACGAGCTAAGAATTTATATACCTTTCACTATATCTTATATGTTTATTCAACCGTGGTCATGCACAGCGAACTACATACCACACGGTCTCCGTGCCATCTAATCGCTTCGCCGCGCAAAGTTTCACGGCGATGGCTGAAAATGTAAGGTTTAACCTTTTCGATATGTATGTAAGTTTGTAATAGCAATTAGAAAGATGGCAGGTACATCATCCATACATGATCAGCATGATGAGACGAATCCAAATCGGGATGTCAGTTTGTCATTTTCAATCACTTCCTCCTCCTAGTGTCTTACAGCATTACAACTTTTAATTGTAAGTACCTACGGTGGACTATTTAAAGGTACATTTGTGCTGATTACATTCGGCAAAAAAAAAACTAACATGTTGATACTACATTTATACAAGTATTATTATTTTCTAAAAAATAATTAAGCATGACACACTTTTTTATAACGTAATTGTTTTTTTTCACTGAATGAGAATAAATAAAATGGAAATTGGTCGCAATTAGTTTAGATTAAGTTTTGCAAAATGTTTTACAAATATAAATTAAGTTTCGATCTGCTATATATCTCTTATAGTCTGGAGTAAGAATACTCCTTGAATCTGCCGATATAAATATACAAATAAAAAAATTAAAAATATTAAATAAAAATGTAAGTGCAAAAAGTATTGCCTTCAAGTCTAAAAAAAAATGGTGAGTTTTTAAAATAATAACAAAATAGTATCAATAAACCCAAGAAAAGGATCATACCATTATTATTTAGTAAATGTGGTCTTTCAATATTAAAATTGGTTGCCTTTACAAATTGATTGCTAAACATCATAATTTTGACGCTCGTTTATTTATACATTCTATCTGAGTCTGAGGACTGCATGCATAAGCACAGTAGCGAAGTCAGAGGCTGTCAGCTGTCCTACCCACAAGGGCATATACTCTCGTATATAGAGATAAAGAATTGCGAATTACTGCGTGTGCTAGCCATCAAGACTAGCATCTGTCTATATATATGTATGTATGTCTGTATGTATTACAGTACATAACACGTAGCTGCACGTACTAGTGTTAATGGGGCTGAATCGCAATCGGTAGCCGCACGACGCCTCACGTAATGCAATTATCCTAAATACTCAACCAACTACTCAAAAAGTCATCGTTCAGATTTAACAAGAGGCAAGCAGCAGCGGCTGCCAGCATTATTACACCGGTTTTAACGGAGAGATAGGAGATGGAGATGAGCAGGCCAGAGCGAGATATGGCAATGGAAGGCGCGCGATGGCGAGCACGAGTTGGGAGCGAAACTCGCGGTAATGGCGAATACATAGGCACATACTCGCAAACCTACATACATACTTATACATATGTATGTATGTATATACTTTTGCTAAATTCGATGTGTGTGTAGTGGTGTGGTAAGTGCGCTGGCTTCGTAGGGGGGTTGGGCATTCTTGCCACGCTCGAGACCCGCCTCTGCGTTCGGCAATTTGAAAACTCATTTACTTGTGGCATGTAAACAACTAATCTGTTAACACTCCGGCAAAGCGCGAACGATACATTAGCGCAGACATGCTCCTGCAATATCCGCCTCCCCTTGCTCTGCACGCACAGCAGACGCAGCAGCAGTCGCAGCCAACAGCACGCAGTGCCAACTGCTTCCTTCCTGGCATTGCGTTTGTTCCTGTAAATCCAACAAAAATCGTACTGTGAACATTTCCCAAGCACAAAGCCGTAATCATAAGTTTCTCTTTTTGCCAAAATGAAAATGTGATTTCGTATTTGAATTCATTTTGTGCATGTCCATGTGAGGGGTAAGCTGGTAGGACAGACGCAAGGCGGCAACGCTACCACATGGTGTCAAACATTTTGCTACACTGCCACAATATGCTGCTTCTACATTGTGACAAAAGCGCACCAAACTTGTACATATACTTGTATCTATTTTTATCCATTCATAAACACTAAATTCGGGAAACACTGACTATTAGAATTACGGTTTTCCAATATACCTAACGAAATGCTTTATAGAAACACCTAATTAATTATAATACATAGTTTTTGTATATGAATCGACAATATTATATTTACACCTGTATATTAAATGCAAAGATGTCTATGGTACTTTAAAATTTTAAAATATATGAAACTTTTAGGTGTGTATAATATTAACTTTGCATAAGCTGTATAGGTTATTTCCGATTAAGTTATTCGTAAATTTTAATTTTATTATGATATATAAAAGTGCTAAAATAAATATATACAAAAATAAAGAATGAACAAAGCAGATTATAATACAATTTATTTACTGCGCTGACTGGAGGTGAGGGATTTGCGGTTTTAAAAAAAGAAAAATTGAGATGGATCATTTTAGTATTTCCTAATTTATTTATATGTAGGCAATACATTTGACCGATCTGATCTCTTTAAACGTTGAAAAATATCAAATTAACTATCAACTTTTGATTATATCGCACTGACTATATCGCGCTGAAGTGATGTTCCGACATAATAAAATCAGAGACGACCCCCGTCCGAATGCTCTAATTTATCCACTCCACTTCGCTACTGTCTGTTAACTTGATTTCTCAATCTCGCGCCACTGTTGTTGCCATTTCCCTGTAATTGCAACTGTATTTCTTTCCGTATATGTGTGTGTGTGTGTGTGTGTGCGTGTGTATATGTATGCTGGGCTTATATACATTTCATTTAAACGTGACCGGGCTACCACCGCAGCCGCAGTGTATAATGTGAGGATGTGTGTGAGTGTGTGATGGTTGTATGCGTGAGTGAGCGAGTCAGCCACATCCGTTGCTGAGCGGCAATTGCCATGGCGTCCACTGAAATGAGATGGCTATATGCAGTGGCAGCCACTCAGCGAGACTTGTTAGCCCAGCAACGCCTACCTATGACTTGGTATGGTGGTGTTTAAAATGTATCTGTGTGTGCGTATGTGTGTGTGTGTGTAACAGAGGGCTCTGTCTCGTCCATGGATGAGAGTCTCAGAAGCAGAATTGCTGCTGGCGTTATGAGGCTGTGAGAGTGTGAGAGAGTATTGGTAGTACTGGTTCTGTTCAGCTGTGGATAGAAGGCAGCCGGCAGCCAGCGTCTGCAGACTAGAGTAGAGTAGTATCTGTATCTGTGGCGTGTCATTGTTGTGCGCTGTTGCCATCGCCACCGTCACCGAAGCCGCCGTCGTCGCGCGTAGTAGGCAGCTCAGTTACAAGACCATTATTTGACGTATTTTTTCCGCGCTCGGTTGTTCGTTTGGTTGGCTGCTCGTCGCCTCGGTTCGCATCGTTTCGGTTTGACTTGCTTTGCCTTGCCTTGGTTTGGTTTTACATGCATATATCATAGCACGCCCAGTGGTAGTGGATAGCGGATACAAAGCGGATTTGGATCACAATCACGACGCAGCAGCGGCAGCGGCCGCAGCAATCGCAGTCATCGCAGCAGTTCGCAATGCGTTGCAGTTTTGGCGCAGCGCAGCTCTGGGTATCGCATTCATGAGCTGGCTCATTGGCATTCATTCGCTTGCCGCCAGTCTGTCATTAAGCCCGTCAACAAGCTCGGTTTCGGTGCCGCCGCCGCGACTGCTGTGGTCTAGTGTAGTTTAGTGCACCCGATGATAAGCTCCTACAAACCAACGCCCACACAATAATCAAGATAATACAACGTTTCCAATGTGCGGTCCAATCAGTTCACCTCGTCATCACCTTCGTAGCCGCGCCTAGTTCTCGACTTAATTTAAAACGCAATCAGAATGCTGGAATTTTTATTTGAGTTCTAAACAAGAGTTCTTGATTGTGCTGATATTCTAAACAACCGATTCTGTGTGTGTTTTGTGCTTCAATTAGTGTTCTCGAATTTTTGAACCATCTCTACCTAAAACCAACGCACAAGAAACTCAGAAAAATTGCTTCGTTCGGAATAGTATGCGAATTTGTTCACAGTGGATTCAACGAATAAAATGGCCGTTGGACCGACGGAGGGCAAGCAGCCTCCTTCAGAGACATTCTCGCCAACACATCACCAGATTATAGCACCCAGTCCCATACTGGCGGTGCCGACTCTTGCATTTTCCGCCGCCCAAGTGGAAATTGTTTGCAAAACCCTGGAGGACTCGGGCGACATTGAGCGCCTAGCACGATTCCTATGGAGTCTGCCGGTGGCTCTGCCGAACATGCACGAGATATTGAACTGTGAGGCCGTGCTCCGGGCGAGAGCTGTCGTTGCCTATCACGTCGGAAACTTCAGGTACTTGTAGGCTTCACGAAACCATTCAATAAAGACACTGACAGCCATCACGCACAGACGCGCAAGTTAGCTAAATTAAAATAGTCGTTTTTCGCTTCTTGTCCGCTTTTCGCAACCCAGAATTGGCGCAAACAAAGCGCTCAGCTCAAATATCAGAACTGATTAACCTCGCATGAAGCGCACATGACCCAAGCCAGACTCCAGAGACCAACCAAGCCCAAAGTCTGATCCCGGGAGCAGACGACGGTTATTCGATAGTTTTTATGCCTGCCATTGAGCTTTGTGTTGCCTTCGACTGGGCTCGTAATAAGTACACAATGAGTTCGTAAATTAATAAACAAAAGCATTAATTTACTAATTAAAGAGCCCGGGGCCAAGCTAAGTCCCATAAGGAGCTGCAAAGCAATCGAATGGAGCAGGCTTGATTAATAAAACACCGGCAAACAATGGTGCGATCTAGTCTCTTCGGGGGTATGTGCTGTCTGACATTTCGGCTTCCGTCTCCGCCAAATAAAACTCTCACATTACACGCAAAAAATGTGTATTTGCGATTCCTGCACTTGGAATTTAAATATACAATATGTTAAATGACAAGAACAAGCGCACACCGGAAATATTTAATTCATATCGCTGAAATATTTCAATTTCCTGAAACTCCACAGAAAGTTTATTAGTATAATGAGACTCATATTCTAAGTAGAAGAATGTTTCCTCTTTTCTTTAAATAGCATATTTTCGTAATATTCTTTTCAATACATTTATAAAATATTAGGATAATTCACGAACTGTGTAGTCTTTTTCTATTTAATGAGGAGTGACACTTCAATTGTAGTCTACGAAAACCTTGTGTGGCTTGACATTATGTAGACTTTTCTTGGACTTGTATTTTTCGATTCAAGGTATTAATGACAAACTCGAATTCACCAGATTTGGGGGCAATTTAGATTCCCAATATAATGTGTATATACTAATGCATTAAAATTCCCAATTCATTGGTGGTTATTGGCAATCGTAGAAAATGCCAAGAAAAAGATTGTCATTCATTAAACTTCATATCGAGTTTTGTTGGCAATTAATAGCCAAGTGGCCAAACAGGTCCGCCCAGCTACACTCTCTTCTTATAGTGTGTTTAGCTTTTGGTTGCAGCTATGGGAGTCGAGTACGTTACTTATTGCGGAGTCACAAAGAGATGGATGCGCAAAACCCTACTTTTGAAGCCTTATCGTAGTTTCTTAATAGAGTCACATTTATGCTAAGTTAGTAGAATTGAAGTGTTGTAAGAGTATTTTCTTGAAAAGGACTTACTTGGACAATTGGCTGATATTCTACATTTGCCATAGTTTCAATTTTCAACTGGATTTGTTATACTGAAATACTGAAAAAAGGTCAGGCTTCAATTAATATGAGGAAGTAATATATATTTAGTGAACTAAGAGTTTGGGATGAGGCATGGCTTTTCTGATGATTGCAAGTGTATATTTTCATCGATTTCACTTACTGCCTGGACTTTGCTTTGGATTTTCAATTGCGTATACACATGTTATCGGAGCTCAATCACCAATTAATGCGCTTGTATGGCATTATGTACGGCAAACTGTATAATATATGCACGTATATGGGAAAACAGCACGCGAACGCGAGTGATTTGATTGCTTTTCTTCAATAAATAAATGACTTCCAATTAAAATCATTTGACGTACTCAACTGAGCTGTCAACGGCAGTGGCACGACAAATCAAAGCTTATGAAAATGTTTCAAAATCGAATGCATGCACATATATGTACAATATGTATGTATATAGTGGTTTAGTCTAGAATCTTAAGTGACTGAGTCGGCCGACCATGTCAAATGGGGTGCAACCCGTGGTGCCAGGAACAGCAGGATAGCAGGACTCGAAAGCTTCGGGGTAGCTGTTAAACACTTTCAATTATTATAGACAGAAGCGACCGAAGCATATAAATAGAGGGGGAGAGTGTTAATAAAAATGTGCATATATAGATTAACTGTTTGAACTTGTTATATTGAAAGTTATTTCATCGTTAACTTGCGTTTCTCCTTTTCGACAGGGAGCTTTATGCAATTATAGAAAATCATAAATTTACAAAAGCATCATATGGCAAGCTGCAGGCAATGTGGCTGGAGGCCCACTATATTGAGGCAGAGAAGCTCCGGGGCCGATCTCTGGGTGAGTACCATAGCGTCCATCCTAACAACCATCGAGTGTATGCTAAATGTTATCCCTCCTCTTCTCTCACAGGACCCGTCGATAAGTATCGCGTGCGGAAGAAGTTCCCATTGCCGCCCACCATCTGGGATGGTGAGCAAAAGACGCACTGCTTCAAGGAGCGTACGAGAAGTTTGCTGCGCGAATGGTACCTACAGGATCCCTATCCGAATCCAACAAAGAAGCGCGAGCTGGCCAAGGCCACCGGGCTAAATCCGACCCAAGTGGGCAATTGGTTTAAGAATCGAAGGCAACGCGATCGTGCCGCAGCCGCTAAAAATCGGTAAGTCAACACGCCCCCAAGCCCTTAAACAGTCGACTGCACAGCTGCACAATTAGTTGGCCATTAGATGCCAACCAAATGAGAATGAATCTTGGCTTGTAATCCGAGCTGTTTGCTTAGTTGCTGCTGCTGTCGCTGTCGCTCCGTTCAATCGAAAGCGCCGTCAAGAAAGCCGGTAAATTGATATCTGCGCATCCAGTAAGTGGCAGCATGGTTGGGTGGAGTGGTGGGGGGAGGAGGGCAGAGGGAGATCTACAGGAGCCCTGCCTATGCCTGTTGTTGGCGTTTGGCATTTGGTGGTATTTCCATTTCATTGATCCGTGCCGAACACGCTTTGTTGCTGTTGTTGTTGTTGCTGTTGTTGTTGCTGTTGTTGTTGCTGTTGTTGTTGCTGTTGTTGTTGCTGTTGCATCCATCGCCAGCGGCTGCTGTGAAGCATTCTCGATTTCTGCCGCTCTTTGCGGTCGCCTTTTGCCCACATTAAACTGACCGCCGTCGATAATGCACTCCAGCGACAGCAACACACACACAAGGCAGCTGTGGAGTTGCAATAACAACGACAACAACAACAATAAGACGCGTTGTAAACGTGGCTCGAAAGGTGCAACTGCTTGTTGGTTTGCAAAAATGAAATGCAGAACAAAACGTAACATGAAAAACTCGACCAATTCGCGCGAAGTTGAAATAAAGACCGTCCGACCGACCGACTTACTTGGAGATCTATCCCAAGACCATACCCATACCCATACCCATACCCATACCCACCGAATCACCGAGTGAAAGAAGCAAAAGGCAAGTTAAGTGGAATGACATTGCAGAAAGCGAGCTGCTCTGTCGTTGCTCAAGTGGGCGAAGTCGCCTGATCTGCCCCTGTCGCTGCTCCTGCAGATGCGCAAATATTTCAACTCGATTCTACCTGCTGCTGCTCCTGTCCCGTCTCAACATTTGGCATTCTTTGGAAACGTTGCAGCAGAAGCCGTGTTTATTAAGTTAGGAGCGGGCCAGGGCTTTTCGGCTCAAATTGAATGAACTTGCACAAAGCGCCAAACACATACATATGTACATATGTATACAAGTATATACTTGCCTCTGCTTTGGAACGGGTCATTAGTTAAAATGATGGCGATTATTTCGCTTTTAAGAGCGGCAGGCAAAGAGCTAAGGGGGAGGCGGCATCAGAAGCAGAAGCAGAAGCGGCAACGGATACGCAGCCATTACAACTCACTTATGTGGCTGGAGATGAGCGTGGCGTGTATGCCGAGCGCTCAAAGAGACCAATCCAAGTGGCAAACTGGGCCCAACTAGTATGGCATTGAGTTTCGTGTAGTCATCGTGTTATTAAGCGCACAACGAGCCCAGAAAAAGAAAGAAAGCGGCTACCCAGCCAGGCAGCCAAAGAGTCATAAGAAACCAAGCCAACTGAATATGAAACAAAAGAGCTCCCTCGATCATGGGATGCCCTCCGCCAGTTCTGGGTCCCAAAGTGTAATTCATTGATAATGCTATTTCACTATACTCGTAAATTCTAGGGATTTATTTTCAATTATTTTGTTTTTTTTTTTCAATTCAGTGGCAGAGATGAGTTTATTATGTATCTGTGGTGGTAATGTGTAGTTACGGAAATTCATCTATTTCTCAACTAATTATACAAATACATGAAAGGAAATTGTCGGAAGAAATGCAAACCATATGTTGCTCGTATTTTCCAGTACCTTGTATCTTTATGTTATTATTGGGAACAAAGGTGCAAACGTGTCTACAAAATGAATATGCCCTTCCACCTGTTGAGTATTAAATATGAGTATAAAATATGAAATCATATGCCAGCCATTCAGCCATCGACAGCAAGCCAGCCACCGACACAGACAGAGAAACAAACCCACACAGATACGCAGACACGTAGATACACAATCCCAAACGCTGTAGACGTTCTACCAAGTTGAATAACAGGCGCTGACTTCTCAAGCATTGTGCGCTGAAAAATTGTTAACATTTTTGCTACTGCACTTGTGCGCCAACGACTTCGACTTTGACTTCGACTCTGACTCTGACTCCGACTCCGACTCTACCTCTGACTTCGACTTCAGATGACGATGACGATGACGACCGACTGGAGCAGTTGATGTCAAAGCCAAAACAGCCGGCAGTCGGCAGCCAGCAGACGATGTGGATGTGCACTTTTTGATGAGCTTGCGCTTGTGCTTGCGCAAGTTAAATGCTACACCAGTTGGTAAATCAATCAAAATGTTGAGCAGCATTAGAAAGGCAACCTGACGGGCAGCCGTGTCTGCTGTGTGTATTTTTGTACGAATGTGTGTGTAAATGTGTTATAACCACTTGAGAAGAGCCGCTGCTCTGCTCCCCAATTGAGTAATTAAAACGTAAACTGCAAGCGCTGTTGCCAATGCATCCAAAAGGGGGTTGTTGCTGCCCATCGTAATGCGGTTAGCCAACAACTGCAGCTACAGCTTGTCATGCTCCGATGCCTGCCACATTGGCGGTTTGGCACCACCAGCATTTTCCAAAGGGTGCCCGCAGTCCTTGAGCGTTGGGAGACAGTCCAACCAATGCAAAAACATTGCAAGTGTTGCAATAATTTGCGAAGAGGGCCAACAAACAATGCGTAGGAATGGACAAGCCAATTAAAAACAAGAACAAGAATATAAATTGTTAGACACAAAAGATTATGTGAATTCATCGTGGTGTTGATACAAATAGCATATTACACATTTCTCCACCTTAGCCAGATGAGAAACCTGTCGAAAGGGTAGGGTGAACGTCTCTGAAAAAACAAAAAGTGTTGCTAGTTTTATTCAAGGCTGTATTTTTGAAAAATTATAGCTGGACAAATTTCAACTCAATAGATAAATAAACAGAAAAAGACTTTCAAATTATTACTGTGTCGGAAAAAATAGAACAAAAAAATAAATAAATAAATACAGACTAATTGATAACCTCCTCCTTTTTAAAGTCGGTTAAAAACATAACATATGGCAACAACGTTGTCAATTTTCAATTTCTTTCCAAGATTTCTACACAAAAATTCTTTCTAGTAATGTTGTTTCGACAGCTATATAATATAGTGATCTGGCATAGTTTATGTTGAGACCATATTCCCCATGTGTCGATAAGTAGTCTCGGTTTGAACGCTATAGCTCTAAATCTGTGGGAGGATTAGTGATTGAAGCAGACAGGATCATATACAATTAAATACATTTGTTTACCATTATTTTTCCTTATCTGTTTCACAAGCTTACACATCATATATAAGTACACCTAATTCTGTTTTTACACGGTAGATTGGTACCAGAAACACCCGTGTAAAAAAGACATTGATCATCTGCAAAAATAGGGGAATGGTTCCTTATCTCTATAGAAACATATTTGAAAACTTTTAATTTTCAAACCGTGTTATATTAAAATCGTGTAAAAAAAGACCGTGTTATAAGAGAATTAGGTGTATATTTCTTTAGAGATAAGGCACCAATTACCTATTTTTGCATATGATCAATGTCTTTTCTCACACGGTAGATTGGTTTCAGAAAAAGTCGTGTAAAAAAAGACATTGGTCATATGTTATTTTGAATCGTACTAAATGGAATAAAGTCGTGCAACCATATATACAATTTTTATACCCTGTAAAAAGGGTATATTAGGTTTGTGCAAAGTATGTAACATGCAGAAGGAAGCATCTCCGACCCCATAAAGTATATATATTCTGAATCAGCATGACGAGAGAAATCGATCTAGACATGTCCGTCCGTCCGTCCGTCCGTCTGTCCGTCTGGATGAACGCAAGGATCTCAGAAACTATAAAAGCTAGAATAACCAAAGTTGGCATCCAGATTCTCCTATGTCCGAGAAAGGACGAGTTTATTTTATTTTTTGGAATTTCGCCCCCCTTCCCCCGCTACAGAATTTCGTCAATAGCGTCCACATTTCAAAAGTTACAATAACCAAACTTTGCACATATCATTTATATATCTACTGTTGTTGTTTACAATTTTATCCATCAGCGGTCAATTCTAAGAAAAGTTATTAGCGAAACAAATTCTCGCCAGTACAACCCCCACAAACTGCAGCACCAAGTTCGCTCTTCTTCTTCCTCTTTTTGCTTCTGCTATGGGCGCATATACCTCAGTGTCGGAAGTTTACCTGGGTACAGGGTATTTCACTGTCGGGCTTGCTCGACTGTAACGTTCTCTCTTGTTAATTTTGAAACCGTGTTAAATCAAAACCGTGTAAAAAAGACCGTATAAAAACAGAATTAGGTGTAGTGCGATATACCCTTACACTTTTTAGTCCCTCAACAAGTTCCAAGCTGCTATGGAAACTCCAGTTCTCGGCGGGTAAGCGATTTTATGACTTTTACAAGCCTTTTGTACTCTGGTTACTGGTTACTGGTTACTCATTGATGAAGTGCCACTGTGGCTTTTGCTTTTTTGTGTGCATGTTTATTGCCACTTGGTAAATGAATGTGGTGTCCAAAACGATTTGTGTGGCTGTGTCGCGGATTGTTTTATTGCGTGAATTAAGCGAAAATGCGTGCCGAGGTACGGCCACTCAACTTCGCTGGCGATAGCCACTAAAGTAGCCCCCACACATACTATGTATGTATGTATGTATATATGTATATTCAATCACAGACTCACACACACACACACACACACACACTTGACCAAATTAGGAGCACAATGAGCAGTTGGCTCTGGCTCTGGCTCCGTCTTTAGCAAAGTGGAAGTGGGCGGTTGGTGTCAGTGCACGAAATGAAAATGCGGGTATATTTTACGGCGAAGAGAGCCACTTGAGGCCCGAACGGCAATTTGTCAAGCGATGAGCAGACGAAATGAGGCAGCAGAAATCAAATCAATGGGAATATTGTGTGAGTGTGTCTAAATATTGTGTGAAGTGTAATGAGATTGGGCAGCGCAGCGCAGGGCACACAAGCAAACAAACAGACACACTCGCACAATGGCAGCTACATAACAAATATGTTGTAA